GAATTGCAGATTTTTTAGTCTGGTTATCAGGGTTCTGAGTAGGTTGTAGCTGGTATTCTTTAAAGTCCACTTTAGTGTTAATTCCTTCTTCTTCTGTTGCCTTTTGAGTTGTAAGTTCATCAGTTGAAATCTGGGCTGCATTTTGTAGCTTTAAGGTGGTGCCTTTATTTTTCAGTCTGGAATTCATTAGCTCAGTAGCCTCTAGGGTTTTTTCAAGTATAAGTTTGTAGTTAAGTTGTGGGTAGTATTCCTCCATTTCTGTGGTGTTTACAGATAGTCCTTTAGTGGAGGCTATTTTTGATAAAAGTCAGTAAATGTCCACCTCCACTATAGAGAGTTGTTTTCACCACCCAGCTGTTTCAAGCTCTTATCTTTTTTGATAGCGTCAAGGACAAATCTTAGTCTCAGAGGTCTCCCAGTCAGAAAAAAATTCACTTGCTGTACCAAATTTCACCACAAGATGTCCCCAGTAACATGTAATCTTTTCCCAAACTCAAGTTAGGCTTTTATCTGTTTTTTTTTTAAAAAAGAAAGAAATATTCCTTTTTTCCCAGCTTAACAGATAGGTAAGATAATAGGTCTCTGTAGGAATAGAAACCTTTTGGGACCCCAGGTATCCAAAAATTACAAGTCCAATTATTTAGTTGTTTAGTTTAGTAGTTCTTTTTCCCTCCATAGTTTTATAGTCTCAGAGTAGGCAGAAGTCGCCAAATTAAGAAGGGGGAAAAAAGAATTTCCAAAGGCTTTTACAGGAAAGTAGTTGGGAAGCAAGAAAGGTAAGGTAAGGTCTCACCAATTCCTCCACGTTGCTTTCGTTGTGCTTGGTAGTGCTTTTGGTTTTTGGCTGGAACAGCTTAGTGAGGGCTTCCGGTTTGCGATCACGGCACCGGCAGGTGTGCGGAGGGAGCGCTCTCTCTGCCATCCGGTTTCCCTTCATCGGAACACCCTGGAAAGGGTCGAAAGTCGCCCTGGAGGGGCGACCACCGCTGAGGAGGACTCTTGACAGATCATGGAAGGGTGGCAGCCCTTCCGTTTGATCCGAGGCAGCTCCTTTGGACCGACGAAGAAAAGATCAGCCATTAACATGGCCGATCACTGAGCCCAAAATTTCTGTTGTTAAGTAAGGCAGAAGCTAAGTGACTTTTGCCCCATTTCTCACAACAGTTATTAAGTGAATCACTGCAGTTGTTAAGTTAGTAACACAGGTGTTAAGTGAATCGGGCCTCCCACTGACTTTGCTCATCAGAAGGTCATAAAAGGTAATCACACAGCCCTGGGACATGGCAACCATCATAACTATGAACCAGTTGCCAAGTATCCAAATTTTGATCACGTGACTATGGGGATGCTGCAAAGGACATAAGTGTGAAAAATGGTCATAAGTCACTTTTTTCAGTGTCGTTGTAACTTTAGACACTAAATGAACTATTGTGAATAATGGACTAACTGTATTAGCATGCAGAAGAGAGTTTTTATTGCATAATATATACCTGTTTTTATTGTTTATCCATGTAAACAGTAGCTCTTAATCTCCAGCCAGGTGGAACATTTTAAATTAGTCTAAATAAAATTAAGAAACTAAATTTTGCTATTTTAACCTCATAGCTAGGAACAGGAACCTATGATTGCCAGTGGTTTCACTTTCTCGTAGTTCTGTTTGGAATAAAATCTGATGAAGTACATAGATCTATGTTAGGAGTCAATATGGTGAAAAATGCATAGTTGCTGATCTAATGTCTTCAGTTCCTGGAATAATCAGTTGCTTATTTTGCCTTCAAGAATTCATGGATTATCATTCTGTTTCTTGTAGGTCTTCTAAAGAAATCAAAGTAGGAGAAACTAGTGGTAGTCCAGATATGAGATCAGATAGAGATTCTTCAGAGAGAAAAATAGAGTTGTCTTCCCCAAGTACCACAGAGACGTCAACATCAAGCACAGGTATCTGTCTTAATTTCCTTATAGAAGTTCTATAGGTTGAGAAGGCAGATAGTAAGGAATTTCATCACACTGGTCATTAAGAAACTTCTTAAGTGCAGTTGCATGAATATATCTTCTCCAACCTAATGTTATCCAGAGGTCTCATGGGATTATAGTTTCCAGAAGTTTCTGCCAGCATTACCAAAGGATTATAATCCCAATGCATTTGAACTGTTAGGAGGATCATCAGTTGTAGGTTTCAAAATTAGGTAGTCATCATACTTGCTATAATGTTTATAGAAATCTGTCCTACATTATTATGCTAATTTGGCAGTATAAGATCTTCAGCAATTGCACTCATTCCTACATAATGCAAGAAATTTTGGACTATGTGGAAGAAATCCAAATAAAATATATCTAACACAGAATTAAATTAATGTTGACCTTAGGAAGAACTACAGTAGCAATAGCAATAGCTCTTAGACTTACAGTATATACCAGGGGTGTCAAACTGCTGGCCCGCAGGCCGGATGCATCATAGTGAAACCGCCCCCACCCCATTGCCGATAATGGAAAAAAAGTCGTGATATGTTGCAACACGTCATGTGACATTGCAAGTTTGACACTCCTGGTATATACTGTTTCATAGTGCTTTACAGCACTTTCTAAGTGATTTACAGAATATTGCCCCCCCCCCCCGTCAACAATATGGGTCCTCATTTTACAGATTTCTAAAGGATGGAAGGCTGAGTCAGTCTTGAGCCAGTCAGGATTGAATTCCTGACAGTGGGCAGAGTTAGCCTGCAATACTGCATTCTAAACACCACCACCAATATAACAACCTTCTTTATTGACTGGAATCTCACATTAACTTGGCAGTATGCAAAGAAAAAGTATAACTGGACTAAACTCTTAGCTGAATGAGAACCAAAATGATTGCATTGAAATACAAATTTAGCAAAGTTATATTAGAATACATTTCTCTATTTTCTGTTGATATGGATGTAGACTAAAATTTATGTGCAATCAAGTTCTTCTTTCAAAACACCGCTTGTAGGAATTTTTGACAGCCTATTTGTCTTGCAGGAAGGAGGGGAAGACAGCCATAATAAACAGTTGAGTCAAATCTGATTCCACTTGAAGTATTTGAGAAGGAAGAGGGAGGATAGATTTCATTAAAACAAGAGGAGCCCAGATTGGTTCTAGATAGATGCTATTATACTTGGCATAGGATCTTTTCAAAATCAATGGAACTAGTCCTATTTAATCTATGTTGGTCTCAATCTTGATCCAAATCAGCTATAACAATAGTAAACATGCTATAATGCTTTGAAGACTTAACATGAATTACACATACCATTTCACTACAACAAAACTATAACATAAATTATCCTGAGTGTCGCAGATGAAGCTAAGAGTTGCTTCATGAGCTGACGGTGTGTGCTATATTTTAATTATAATTTTCTTGATTCATAGTTTACCATAAAAAATACCTCACCCCAAAAGGCACTGGATATCATACAGCATCAAACAAACAAACAACAAATGAAAAACAGTATAAAAATATAAACAACAAAAAACAAAGATAAAACCCAAAAGATGCCCCACCCCTAGCTCTACTGAAATTCAACAGCAAACTGACCAAACATTGGTTCTGTGATTTGGGGTTATGTTTGTTTGTTTGTTTTGCAGTGAGGATATTAAGGATGGGATATTACCAGCTGTCTCCAAGAGTAGCTGCTATTATTCTTGTCCTATTCCCACTCAACTCCCATAGAAACAAGCTGAAGTACTTAGACCAAAGCATTGTCTGAAAAATCTCAGACATAACTCTTCTAGGAGCATTGCCACATCTGCTGACCTCCTGAAAGTTTGGAGTCTGAGTCTGATCACATGTTGACCAGGTACTTGAAAAGTGCTATCCTGTCCTCTGTTAATCTACTTTTCTGCAAAGACAGAAAGGTCTGGGTAGCCACAAGATATTCAGTAGATAGAGATGAGCTAGAAGCCATCAAAACAGTCTCAGGATAAATGGCCTATAGGAAGATATTTATATTTAAAATGTTTATAGCCAGCACAGAACAAAATTTGGTTTCCATGTGAATGATGCATTTGTTTTATGAACAGGAAAAACCAAGAGCTTTCCAAGTATATTGGGAGGAGTTCGGAGAGAACGTGAAATCAGCAGGTGAGTATTTAAGATGAGTAGCTTATTGTTAGGTAACAATATTCCATACTTTAATGATGTCCCTGCCTGTAAATTCCTCTCTTCCAAATGATGGTTGGAAGAGTTGGAAATAACTTATCTTCCTTCTAGCATTGTGCTTTAAACAATGAGTGCAATTATAGAAATCTTTTTCAGCCGGGCAGTTAACAGGTGCATTAGCTTACAATTCCAGAATTCATAAGAATCCAAAGTATCTGTAAGGCTCCAGGCAGTTTGTGGAAGGCTGGACTGCACTGTGTATGCATATGATATATACACAAGGGCACCTGCTTGGGGACAGGAGAATAAAATACAACATTAGCATGTTGACCTCGTAGCTCAAATTCCACAACGTATATACTTGAGTCAGACTTTAGGACTCAATAGATAATGGTGGCATTTCTCTCAGGATACAACTGTGCATGTGGCATCATTGTGGTTTACTATTATTGTCACTGTTTTCAGATTGAGGGTAGTATATTCTAGCTGATGTTTTTTTATCTTTTAAACTTTGCTATGGCTGCAGTTTTGTGCTCACTGCTAAATTAATATTTCATGATTGATGTATTTTTTTCTCATCTTGACTGTTCCTTGATATGTTTATCAACTCTTTTCTTGGAAGAATTCAATAACAAATAAGATTGTGATCAGAGAAATATAATCTCTCAGAATAAGAAAAATTCTACCTTAGCCAAGTAAGTATTAAGAACTGTACTGGATCTTTGCATAGAATGATGTTTTATCTGTTGGTAAAATCCTTCAAATATTTGGTTTTCTATTGTTTAAAAGCAGTGGGCAACAAATATCATTTTGGGACATGATACATTGGAGTTTATTTGAAGATAATTTGATTATATGATATCTTGTATCTGCTGAAAGGGAGATGTTGGATACCATTGCTGATATGCCTCAGAGACCCTTAGAAATATCTGTCTCAATGCAGACAGATGCAAGTTGGATTCATGACCACGTCTATAAGAGAAAGCGTAAGTAATGAGCTTATTGTATGTTGGAAATATTATATATATTTTGAAGAAATTTTCATTGTCTTGAGGAAAGAAAAACTGCTACTTGTTTATCTGTTTACTCTAACTGGAGATGTTTTCAGGTTCTTTTTTGCAGCATTTGCTATATGATGTATTTTGATAGAGAGATTAGACTATTTCAACCTGAAATCTTTGGCATGCAAAACATGCTTTACCAACCATCAGTGGTTCTTCATGAAAGTACAATTAGCTAGGCAGGAAATGAATTTGGATCCAGGATCCCTTGTTAAGCACAAATATTTTATTCTGAAATTTATCACACTATATATTTAAATTTTGGAAATTTCTGAAAGTCATAGTAATTTTTTCTCATTGTCTGAATATCCTTAGAGTACTTCAGTTTGTTGCATGGGGATGCACCGTTGCAGGCTTGTTGGAAAGTTCTGTTGCTCTAAAATTTGGGAGCTGGACTGTTATCCAAAGATAAAGGAATATAAGATATGTTGCTAATTCTTAAATAAGTTCATTGGTTGCCATCATTCTAGTTCTTGATTGCTGCTTATTTTCCTAGAAGGCCACATACAATTTTGGTCTAGAGTTCAGAAGGACAGCCTACTTCCACTTAAATTTGTCCAATTGCTACGGGCCTTTTATATTAAAATTTGTAGAGATCAGGTTAATGAAGGCCATAGAATAGACATCTGAATTGTAGCACCCCACCTAAAGAATACTTTTCTCTGGAAAGATCTTCTGGCATTGAATTT